AGACCAGCGTGATTTCGTGTTAAAAAATTATGTAATCCTGTCGCCTGTTTCACATTACGCACACCCACACACACACATCTGTCGGACCTTCAAGATTCCATGAAATCAAACGCGCGTACGACTGTGAGTGGAATGATACTGGTGTGTTTCTTTTCGCAAGTGGGTCCGTTTTGGGTTCGGCTCAAGAGTTCACTCTTTTTGTCCGGTGAACTGACTCCGGAACACAAAGCACAAGCATAAAAAGCCCAGTTGGTCATACTCCCTGAGAACACAACATATTTGGCGAGGAGGTGGGATTTCTCGAAATGTACCTACCATTGGTTGAGAAAATTTTGCAATTTATCAAATATAATGACCGCATTTGTGCAAAAGCATCATGTTCACTAAATGACAGTACGTCGACAATGTTACCCTAGGGTGTACGTATAGCTACGAGCGCTGAGGCAACGAAAATTCCTCAGAGCATATCAGGTGAGCAAACGATAGAATTTAAAGACATGCAAACCACCTTGCCGTTAATAAGTCGTATGGTTTTGGTGTGATATTTTCTTTGCTTCACGCTGATAACTTGGGGGAAGGGGACTGCTGTAAACAACTCTGGTTGTAAGCGGTGAAAGCGTACATATCTTGTCTATTGCCAAGTATCACGCTACTATTATTCCATAACTTGTCCTGATCCACCCAAGTTCGTGAGGCGTTTCCTTAAATCAGGTTATCATTTTGTGCGTTCAAACTTGAAAGGCTTTCATTACCCCAGGGTTTAATTCTTATATGTGATTGCAAGCATGCCATTCAGCAGTAACAGCGTTCTACCACCAGATTCTATGGTCTCATGGGAAAGGATACGTTTGATTGTACCTTTGACGAAGCATATTTTACGGTTAGTAAGTATCCTGATGCGTATCCGAAGATCCAAATGTGTTCTTACTCACAATACAAGAGTCATGAAAAAGGCTATCTGGTTCTTCCAAGGTGCTTAAAATTTGGGACTATATTTTCTCGCATTTCGTCACATCGCGACAGTGCTTTACCTAATCTGTCACACTTACTTGTTAACCCAAAGAAAGCAGGTGGCTTGAGGCGCGACCGACCGCGCCGCCTGTGATTGATGTCATTTGTCGTACATTCATAATGGAAGCGCAGATGATGAGTGTGCACTAATTCGGATGTGCAAGGTCTATTCTGACTTGATTTGGCTGGAGTTAATACCGCAAACGGTATCCGATGAATGAAAGCTCAGATTCATTACAACTAGACGCCAGTCGGTATTCGCAACATCTGGGGTTGGATTCTTAACTCCTAAGTCTGGGATGGATGGAGCCGATTGTGAAGTGAAGTGCTGTGAGCGGACAACAAGGCGCATTTTTTTAAATAATAGCGCATTCATTATGTAACCAGGTTGGTTGAGCGCCCACCCACGTGACCTCAGACAGGTTTATCATCTAACATGCCGACCAAAACGTGCCTTTGCATTTGAAGACTAAAAGCTTCCGTTTATCTTAATCCTGATATCCTCGCGACGGAGCGAAGAAAACGAATAACGTGAATGACCTTAAGGCGGGTAATTCGAATTCAAAGGGTCGCATATAGCACAGTCCCCTAGTTTAACCGTTCAACTCCCTGAAACTGACAAGTATATTGAAAATGGAGACTGAAACACTGGAGAAATGCTTCTTCTTGCAATAACCTTTCCCTTCGTTATAACGTCGATTCACTGTTTTGACGCGCTCTACTGTATCGTAATACAATTCTATCAGATAGTCGCAAAAAGAAAAGAACGTTACGTTTTGTTTTCTCGTATGAGTCAGGAATCCCGTGGCGGAGCTGTATGCTATCGGGCACGTCCCCAGGTTGCGGATAGGGGAATGCCTTCCTTGAGGAGGTAACTGCGAATAAGTTGTTTGCTTTGCAGGCGAGATGAATAATCAGTCGCGGACAATCAGCGGCAGCGCCTCAGAGCGTGGGGAGTTTTGAGCTGGTCACCTGGTTCTCCACTAAATACCACAAGTGCTCGTACGGCGCTGTGTCAAAGCAATGTGACCGGCTATAGGGTCACTGACCACTCACTCCTGTAACTGGGGGTGAGTATCTAACGGAGGGCGGATGAACAACCTCAATGACCACCAGCTTCCTTGTGGACTGCATCCGAACACAAAGGCGAATGAGCCATTTCGTTGTCAACGGTCTTCGTGAATCACCCCGCTGCTTTGAGGGTCAGGTCTTTAAATCAAAAGCTCGGGGTGGGGTCCCTTAAGTCAACCCTCTTCCTCGGCCTGCGCAACCGGGAAATTCAATGCCCACACAAAACATGGAACTTTGCTTCCATTCCTCTGACTCACTCTCTCCTTCTTGTTATTGTTACTCATGTGTTGTGCCACTCTGCCAAATGTTTACTGGTCAAGTGCTATATATATATATATATATATATATATATATATATATATATATATGCGCTATGCTGAACCTGATGTTGCATTCATGACGATTCTTCACCGCAGTTGGGCTAAACCAACTTACACTTAAACTAGGTCTTTTTAAGCTGGCTAAATTTCATTCCACATTATTTGGTTTGTTCTGCCTACCTGACTAATCTAGTAACCGGCCACGTTACTTACGCTAATTGTTCGTTATTCGTTGACATTATTGCGTTTGTAGCATTTGTTGAGTAACTTCTGGACATTTTGTACTTATCGCGGATTCGTTGCTAACCAACATACTTCATATGCTAATTTAGGGTAGAGTTATGTCTGTATAGCCGCATTCTTTAACAGATATATTTTATTTGATAAGGTCATTTCAAACGATTGACTGTTGGTTGACATCCCAGGTGTGGCTGCGCTTGGTGTGCATGTTGATAAGGTGCCTACCTGTCTATCACTCACTAACTCGTCTATACTGGCTAGGGAGACAATTGGTCGTTGCTGGATGGGACGGGGTGCACGGTCCATGTGGTCGTGCTAGTCTCGAAGAGTGGTTCCATGCATTCAGTGTGGAGCGCTTGATTCACCAAATACAGCGTGCTTGTGTTTGCTTGTGAAGGAGTGTGGGCCGGCTGCGTTGATGAAACGTGGCTCCCATCCGTATGCCTCCCGGTCTTATTCCTTCGGGTTTACACTGTATGTATGTATGTATATATATATATATATATATATATATATATATATATATATATATATACGCGTCAGGAATAGGGCTGTGGTTAGAGGAGTGGCTAAGGAGATACGGATGGAATCAATGGGGTTGGTATAAAAAGTGGGGATGAAGGTGAAGTTGGAAGGAATGAGAGGGATGAAAAGTGTAAAAGGGGGGTAAAAGACGGAAGACCAAAACAGCAGCATCCACATCACTATCTACCCCTTTCGATAGAGCAGATAGGGCGCCGTTGAGTATCCTCTCCGACAGCAATAGCAGCGACAAATTGTTGTGGAAAATTTGTACTGCATTGCATGTGCAGGATATTGTCAGGTTGCCCAGACCTAGAGAGGAGAACAATCAGGGTTCTCAACTAGCCTGGCCACAATACAAGGCTACAGAGTTCGATTTGAGGAATAAGCAGCTACCTATGTTCCTAAACAAAATCTGGAGTGCCAGGATACCGAGTTCGTCTAGCCGATACCCGCTGACCAATCTGATTGTGGGTGGCTCTGATGGAGCAGAAGTACCACCTAACAAACTATCACACAAGGTTCACGTCAAATGTTAATGTGATGGAGGCAGATAACGTGACCCTTCTGAAACTACCTGACGGCCAATATAAGGCAGAAGCTTGATAGAGAAGCTGCCATGGCACCCAAACGTAAACAAGAACGGGAATTGGGTTTATAAGCACGGTTTTCGGGGTATTAGTGATATAGAAACGGTACCGATTTTGCTCAGTTCATTCAAACTGTTGAAGTGAGTCAAATCACGGCATATGACTTTAGTTAATTACATATTCAAAAATAAACAAATGAAGGGGTATTTTTCCCGGCGGGCGGAATACGCTCCCTTATATGGAACGATCATTACTGGTTGTTATGAACCAATTTCGAGCGCCTCGTCGATCGGTGGCATTTGACACATTCGGCACCACAATGAATATCAGTAAGTGGCGTAAATGGAGACATACAGGTTATCAGTACAGTTGCAGTTTCTAAGGAGGCGTAGCTGTCAAGAAATTACAAACAGTTGTACTCATGCAGCGGTATTAGAAGGGTGCCATACCCTAGGAAGGAGGGGGCATTCGAACCTAGAGTAAGTCTGGCGCTTGAAAGAGTACGCTACATACCCTGCGCGCATCATATACTAAAGCGCAGTGGAGATCAGATTACCTGGGCTACTGAAAGATGTCTGGTAAGATGTCAAGACGATTTCACCCTCACAGAACCCAATCAGCCAAATGAAGCTACGACTGGTTTTTAGTTATCTTATCTCAGTTACTAAGGTAGCATGGGACCAATAGAGTTGTCTGTTTGACTACAAGCAATGGAAGGTGTGGACAAGATGAAGTGCAGTAAAGTCAGAAGCTAAAGACCCTAAAATGTGTTACAGCATCTAGCAGCGCTAATAAGACACATCAAAAACTTTCATTGAATTCATCACAACAACTTACAAGTCGGATAGCCTTACCACCACACTAGGGCAGTCCTTTCATCCCATTGGGACTAGTCAGCGGTGCGCATCCCTCGGCTACATCATGAACCGAACACACGACCACCAGATACATACGCCGCCAGCCAGCGGCCAACGTCATGAGGGGGGGAGGGGGGCGCATATCGTCATGACTTGCAAGCCAACTGTTATATGGTGCGACTTATCCTCCACTGACATGAAGGACAGTGGCTGGCCCCATGAGGTCATAACTTTTCACAACATCAGCTACGTAGCCATAACATTTGAAAGCTGTTAGGGCGAATTTTCGATTACTAGAGTGGGGGAACAGCTAGTTCATAGTTTTCATGAAGCAATGAAAAAGGTATGTAAAAGTCTGGAGCAATCAACGAAGTAGATGACCGACATACCTGTTGATGTGGGTGCATAGGACGCATGTGGACGCCGGTCGAACCGCCATGGAGGGGGTTACCCTGCATGTGATGCGGCTGCGTTGACTGACCTGGTTGTGACTGTTGTTGTGGTTGTTGCTGTTGTTGCTGTGGTGGCGGTTGCTGCTGCTGTTGGTGTTGCGGAGGAGGCGGACCGCTGCCGCCGCCACGCTGCGCTTGGTGCAAACCGGAGTGGTGCATAGCTGTGTGCTGAGCTCCTGTGTTGGCTCCCTGTCGAACACCGGGTTGAGGATGATTCGGTTGGCCCTGGATTTTATCGGTACCCGCCGCTGCACCGGTGTGTTTGTCTTCGGTGTCCTCATCGGAGATGAATTCACGCTTTGGATACGGATTAGGAACGTTTCCAAAAACACTGAAGGATATGGTGCAGACAGATAGGAAAGAGTGCACAGTGCATGGATGAAGGTGGGAAAGAAACCGCCTCGGTCTGCGCAGTATGCAACCGCTATTGGACAAACTGATTATATTTATTTATTTATTAATTTATATATTTGCAGCAGCCTACGAATAGGCATGAAGCCATCAAAAACCATGGAACTCAAAGGGAGATACAGAGATCTTTAAAAAAAACAGAACACAACATGGATGAGTCCATGGTTTCGTCAGAGGACGAGGTACTACCCGGTTGTCCAAGCCGAAGTAGGGTGTTGACTTAGGGGACACCACCCCAGGGCCTTTGGTCGAATGGCCTGACTGCAAGGCAGTGGAGCGAATTCAGGGAATCGCGCCCATTGGAAGCCGGTGACTGACTGTCTAGTTAATACGCCTTTCAGTTCTAGCTATCAGCGAACAGCCACTGGATGTGTGATTCTGTTCACGTACCTTGGCAGCTGGGTCACCTCTGGTGGTCCTTTAACCGAGAAGTTTACTTTGTGAATACGCAAGTCCCGTGTGGATTTCCAGACGCTCGACCATGTATGGGGACGTCGGCGAAAAGTAAGGCGTATAACGCTACGATGAGGTCGATGTTACTGTACGGATCAAAGACCCAGATAGTTTGTACTGAAGAGATTAGACTCTTGGCTGTGTTTGACCACCGGTATTTGTAAGCGTTACTCACATCTGGTGGGAACACTGCGGCAACAATGCTGAGATACGCCAGTTGAATTTTAACCTGAAGCTTTATGGTGTCTCATTATGGTGTTGGCTGAATCTTACTCGCTTATGCTGGCTCCGTACGGGCATCAGCAGTACGCCGGTACGCAGTGCCGACGCTTCGCTGCCGCGCAACCAACACCGGTCGCATGTAGGTTAAGGATACTGCGAGGATCGCCATGCCATTAAGCAGGCTCGAACCCGCGCCCCCAGATTGCAAGACAAGCTTGTTAGCTTTCCACTACGGGCCGGGTTAGAGACTTATCACGTGGCGTAGTCGCGGAGTCAGTGGCGTTTTCAAATTCTTTTGCACCTAGTTATTAATCTTCATTCTATTCGGGTTAGTATTGCATTTTTCTGCCCTGATTCTGTTTTCAGTGTATATATTTGCAATCAACCACATTTTCTTATCATTATTATTGATATCCTGGGGACGTGAGTCGTGGCGACTGCACCCACCTCAGTTCAGTGCCCGGGTCATTGTTGTTTAATTGAACTGAAGCAAATGCGTGTAACTCAGACAATTAAGAGGTTAACGATGATCATGGGTATAGGTAGACGCAAGCAGAATAAAGGCACAACTCACTCCTCATTTGGTGGTTCGCCTTCTTTGAAATACTGGTCCTCCATAGCCTCCGCAGCCGAGGGACGTCGAACTGGATCCATTGTGAGCAGACGACGGAGCTGAAGTGACCGGAAGAGAGGAACGGATAAAATGAAGCCAAGGTGAGTGAGATGAAAGGGTACGGAAGACGGAAACCGGCTTTGTCTATCAACGTACAAGATGGATGTATAAGCCAAACCAGATGAAAAATATCTGAGACTAGATTGTAAGAAGCAAATGCAAGAACAACGGTCAGGTTGAGGACAAAGATGGATATGAAACTGTAGTTAGGCAGGGCATTATTGGCGAGGGGTTTATGCAATGAGGAGCTGACTGAAGTCGAACCAAATGCCCGGAAAACAAGGATGCGTGTGAGATCGTGAATTATCCTTGAAACAGTATTATGCTTCACATTTGTCGGCGACAACTCTGTGGCAATACGGTGCAAACAAGAACGAAAAAGTTGTTCTGGAAGGAACAAGAACGTATATATATATATATATATTATATATATATATATAATGAGTAAAAACGGTACAAAATGTAACAGATGAGCTCGTAGACAGTACAAATTCAAGAATACAAATCTGAGCTTACACCTATCACCAGTGGTGTGATACAAGAAAGTGGCTATCCTTGAGTCGCTACTGTTCTTAATGTATGTTAACAACATGTTTGACGCAGTAACAATCGGTACGCCATACATGTTTGCCGATGATATCAAAAGTAGGTACACTTCCGTTTAGAAATCTCCAATGATGTCAATATGATTCAAAGCGACTTCTATGCGTTTTAAACCTGATGCTCAAAGTGAAAAATGTCTTTCTTTACCGACAAATGTTGTGCAATGTCTCACAAGTGTGATTTGACCCATAGTGGCTTGACGCTTTATGGCAAACCACTTGATCTCTAGCCTATGGTTAGAGGTCTGGGATTGTGATATTCATGCTCACTTGACTTCCGTGAACAAGTAGGATATGCCACCGCGAGAACAAGAGAAAAGTAGATTGGCATTCAGCATTATTTCCAAACGTGAACTAATACTTCATTCTTACAAGCTGGTGATTCGACCCATGTTGGAATATTGTTTAATGGTGTATGGGAGCTCACAGATGCGTGACCGCATCGCACTGGGACAAATAGAGAGAGCATTGACAAAATGCCCCTAGGTACTTTTTCAAAACTGGAATATTCTGAAGGATGTGATAAGCTCAAGCTTGATCCGCTCTGGTGACGGAAGGCCAACCGCTGTCATCTGCCTGGCAGTGAGGGTGGGTTGGGTTATATTGCAGTTAGCTAAAATTCATGTTGTAATCTTTCAAGGTATTCATCCCATTAGTTCACAAGCTACATAGCACAGCCTAGTCTGGAAAGGTACAAGATGCGTTTCGCCCTATTGGAGCTCGTCAGTGGTGCGCATTCCCTCGGTCCCCTACTGGGGATCGAACCCATGACCGCAAGACGCAGATACCAACTAGCCAGCAGCTTAAGCCACTGAGCCATGGAGGACATTAATTGAGCTACATAATTTTGCGAGCTAAGTGGGACACAGCACCACCTATCTTCCACTGTCACTGACAGTGGCTAGCCTGCGAGGTGATGACGTGATGGTCCTCTGCCGTCCCCCATGGCTCAGTGGCTTCAGCTGCGGGCTAGTTGACGCAATCCACTAGTAGTCATGGGTTGGATCCTTGGAAGAGGACCGAAGGATGCGCACCACTGAAAAGCCCCAATAGGGCGAAACGGCCGTCTGGTGCTTTCTTGGAGTGGTAATTGATTTATCTGAATTGTCGGCTGATTGTGACGAACTCTAAAAAGTATAACCTAATTATATTCTTTAACATCTTACACAGAAATATACATATTTCCGACCTCAACATGTCATTAGTGTAATGAGCAGTCCACAACACACCAAACAAGCAGAACTCAGTGGCGGAATGCAAGTAGAGGACCAGTTGGTCTGTAAACATTTTCCTCAACAGGTACGCCAGAGTTTGGAGCAAGCGACCACCCAGAATACGTGCTTGTACTCTTGAACACAAGTTTCCAAAAAAAATCAGCAAGTTCTTGTCTGTATAAAATATGATCGAACTGTCTAACTGTCCCATAATAACAAGCCAAACGTACGAGCATGGACTAGATTTCCTATGCCCCAGTGCGTTTCCCCATCATGTTATTTCCCATGGTTTAGCTAGTTTATAGGTGGGAGAGAGGTTAAAAGCCAGACAACATCATTTCAAATCAGTCAACTGTTTACGATCTCATCGTTGTCTTTCCGATAGTCAGTACCTGATGAAATATGCGATTTTCCTGATCCACCTGTGACCAACGTTCTATAAAGTATGCACTTACCCGATCATGCCGATATAGGTGTATCTCGCATCGTCGAGAATAAAAGTTTATTTGTTTAGTTTATTAGTTTATTTAGTTGTTGTTTAGTTAATGAGAAAGTAAATGCCATGGTCCACACACTTGCATGAACAGCAGGTTAGCTGGCGCTAATAGTCATCAAAAGCAAATGGGATATTAGCATGCACCGTGTTTTCCCCAGATGTGTATGAGTCAGTGAAATTTTACGGGGAAGTCGACTGGCAAATGTCGGACAGATTGGAAGCCTGCGCAGCCCCACGCCACGGAGAAAACAGGGATAGCGCCCCGAACGGTATAGTAACCATCCACGGTTATCACTAAACTGATACACCAATAACTAATTCCTGTGAGCTGTATCTATAGCCTGCTCTTTAAGTAGAAAATAAGAGTAACAAATTGTAGTTTGAGGCGAACTATGAGGCGAAATGCACTTGTGTGTATCACGTAAGATCAATTGATGACAATTCTGACGTAGCAGAGCAACAAGAGAAAGAGAGGTATTATCACCTGTGCCCTTGCCTGTAACCGACTGATCAAAGCGCCAGTTGGCAACAGCAAGACCGCGGATCTCACTCACAATACCTGCAGTTCACATATTGAAGAATTCATACAGGAGAATGATGGTCGATTGAAAGTAAAAGCGATGTCTGTAAATGGTTGAAGGAAATCTGTTCGAGGCGAGCCACAGCCCAAATTGAGTGAGTCGCAAACCAAACATCTCGAGCCATACTGCGTTGGTGTCATCCATCGCAACGAAACGATTTCAATCGTTCGTGCATATCAAGGTGAGTAATTTTGTATAAAGACGGAGAGGTGGTCAACTGCTAATCGGTCGAAGGGATTAGGCATTTGCTTTGTGTTACAATGGCTCCGGTTCAATTCTGCGCAGGTGCGGGTGACCTCGCGTGGCAGCAAAACGGTACACCGCACTGGCGAACTGCTAATACCTACTAATCACTGTGTCCACCCTCCCGTAGGCTTTGTCACAAGTTGCAAGGCAGAGTTATACACAGAGGTAGTCCATCCTAGTCCGATAAACTAAGCATCATCGATTTCATGGGTCAGTGTTAGTTGGAAATGGATACCGCTCCGAAAAAGTGATCGAGGCGCTGTATGCGAGCAAGCTGGGAAATCGAGCTTTAGTCAGCAGTCGCAATGTCGCCAATGTAAAACAGATAGGATACAGGTATGGCTAGAAAAGTGATGGTTAAGTAAGCGAGGAAGTCGCATGTTGCAGGGTATTCGATCGTAAACGATACGATGTAGTCAGTAAAGGCGGGAGATGCATCTAATGCAGAGGAAATGTTAGATGAATATAAGATGGGAACAGACGAAGTCTAGAAGGATTACAGTATGAGGAGAATCGGTATCCTAGAACCAGTGTAGACCGATTTGGATAGCACGTAAAAAATTGCAACCGTTGTGGTAGCAGCAGAGCCTACGTGCTGACAAGGAAGCCTGGTGGACCACTCGGGCTCAAGAAATGGAGGAGGCAGGAGCAGTAGACAATTATCGCAAGCTCTTCCAGCTACTCAGCACCACTGGTCCCAGAAAAACAAAGCGTCAGTGAGACAAGCAGTGACAGCGCGGGTGCACGATACATAATAAGAAGCGCCATATGGCTCGTTGGGCGGAACACTTACAAGATCACTTCAGTTGGCCCCCTGCTCACGGACCTCTTCCTACTCAGGTGATGCAGGACGAGCCATGGACGGTTAGTTTAGAGCCTCCGCCGGAGGCCGAAGTCCGAAACGCCATCGCAGCCCCCAATCGTTTTCGTGCCGCTGGCGGGGATTCCCTCCCACCTGCACTATTTAAGGATGGAGATGCGGTCCTCTGCAAAGCACTGGCCTCCCTATTCAAACCTATCTGGAAGGAAGAGAGCGGCCCGGCTAATTGGAGCGAATCGATTATGGTGGCAATATACAAGAATGGCAGTCGCACAGACTGTTCTAACCACAGGGGTATTAGCCTAACACCAGTTTTAACAAAATTACTGGCCTCGATTCTCGTTCGTCGCTTCATTGCGAAACGGGAATGTCGGATTAGGGAAGAGCAGGCCGGTTTCCGCCCAGGACGTGGCTGTATAGACCATATATTCACTTTGCGGCAGGTGCTAGAGCAGCGCCACGCATACCGCAGACCGACAATAGCTGTGTTCCTCGATTTCAAGAGTGCGTTCGATTCAATCGATCGATCGATTCTGTTCGAAATACTTGCGCGGAAAGGTGTTCCCACGAAATATGTGAACATCCTTCGTGCTCTATACTCGAACACTACAGGCCGCGTCAGGGTCTAAGGTGTCCTATCGGATAGGTTTTCGACTACAAGTGGCGTTCGTCAGGGTTGTCCGATTTCCCCATTTTCGTTCAATTTCGTCGTGGATTCTATCATGAAGTGTACCTTGTGGAATCTCACGATGTAGGCGTTGAAGTGCTGCATGGTGAAAGGCTAGTTGATCTAGATTATGCGGACGATATCGTCTTGCTTTGCGACGATGTTACGGCGGGCACAATTAACCCTGGATAGCCTGTCTAGAGTGGCCCATTATTTGGTATTCGCTTCACATCTTCAAAGTGCAAAGTGCTGCTGCAGGACCACCAGCCACTTTATAACCCCTTGACGCTTGCTAACGAGGAACTCGAGGTGGTTGATCAATTCACTTATCTTGGCAGCTTCATCAGCAACGATGGGCGCAAAGAAACTACGTCAGCTCACGCATTGCAAAAGCCACAGCTGCGTTCTTGAACCTGAGACATCTTTGGTGACAGAAGGGAGTATCCCTTTCTCTGTAAGGCCGTGCTCACAAGGGCACAGTGAGAGACCTTCTGCTCTATGGTAGTGAGACTTGGCTCCTTCGGTCTAAAGATCTGAGGCGCCTCCAAGTCTTTGATCACCGTTGTCTGCGAAGCATTGCTGGTGTCGGATCGCACCAGCGTGTCCGCAACGATGATGTGCGTAGGCGAGTACTAGGTAGTGATAATCATGCTAGCTCCCTAGAACAACAGATAGCACTGAATAAGTTGCGTTGGCTCGGATACGTGCTACGTATGCCTGGTCACCGCTTACCTAGGAGGGCCTTGTTTACTCTGCCAGAGGTAGGGTGGCGCAAGGCTCGAGGTGGGCAGAAGTTGACCTGACAGCGGGAAATGAAGTCACTGACGACCAAACTGGGTGCCATTGGTTCGTCTCACCTTCCGGGCTGGAGTCAACGTGACTCGCCTTGTGCTTGGCTCGAGACTTTACAGGATATGGCTAGCAGCCAACACCAGTGGAGCGTCTGCTGCCGCCTCCTAATTGGATTGCCTGTTTAAAGTATGTTTGGTGTTGAGTTATCTGTGGGGTAATAGCTGATTATGACGCGTGACAGTGAAATCCACAAGGCAGCTGTCTCGCCGATGCCGCCTTATCTTTGCACGATAGCTAGCTGTTTGCGACAGTATGTTGTCTACACAAGGTGTAGGCGCCTTGACGCTGAGTGTTTGCTTAGGGCATTAAGGTGTTCAGGTAAATCCCCCTTCTCTCCCTCTTGTACTTTATTTTATAGGTCCTTATGGTTGTATGGCAGCGAAGCATCAGTTCAAATGGCTAATGTACTGCTGCTGTCGTTGTTGTTTTATGGTAGCAGCGAAAAGATTATCGGTTGGAGGGATGAGTTGGTTAAGGTTAGATTGGGGAATACTTGGTAACAACACGTCTCTTGAGACACGTAACGTGATAGTAGACAATAATAACAGAACTTGGGATGGCAGACTGACAAGCGTACGCCAGTCGGTTCATTTCAACCATTGGTGTGCTCATACATCGAGTTACACCGAATTACTCAGGGCGCCAAGACTCCGTGGGTCATAGGGTGGTGAGATACTGCCTAGCAAGCTCGGACGAGCACATGATCCATTTATGGGAGCGAGTGTATCGGGACCGGGGTTGAATACCGGTAGTGGCGTGGGTCAAAAAATGACAAGATCGTGGTAAAACTCACGTTGCAGTATACGTGACGGGTCAGCTTTTCTCAACATGGAATTCGGTCATTCTGACCTTATATAAGGCAATAAATTCTATCTTTCGTGTTTTATCATCAATTAGATGTGTTATATCGCCTTCACATGGACGGAAATTGACTGATAAATAAACGAACAAATAAATCATGAAATTGGTATTGTGTGCTCACCAGGGCTAATTCCTTTTCGTCTACTTTGAACTTCTTTTCATCCAAGTAACCTTCTAAGGAATATTTTCCATAGGTCTTTTTACTGATAGAATCACGCATGAGCTGTGGGTATTCAGGCATCTTTTTAATATCCACCCAGGCGTCATCTGAGTTTAAAAACGGATGAGAGTGGGTTAGAGGTAGAACAATAAAAACATCGTCTAGGAGGATAAAAGATTAAGAAGGGGTAGCGGTTTTTAGGAGCGCTTCGAAGTCCGAGGGAAACGGGTGATTGTGCAGTGGATTTAGCGAATATCAAATGGGAAAAAGATTATCGAATCAAACCGTCTCGGTATCTAGGCGACTCTGAACCAGGGTCCCACGTCAAGGTAGACAGAAGAATACCAACCGTGTGAGACAGATAGTAAATGGCAGGAAAAGAAACCGACGGTCCAAGGAGTGTGAGTACTTAGTTGCATGCAGCATGTGCGTCCGTCTCGTGGATTGTGGGATAAAGTAGAAATTTAAATATATACAACTTCATAGAAATACGGAAAAAATGTTAAAAAACCAGATCTGTGTATGAAAATGCCAAAGCTAATCATTTTTTCAATTTCTCAAGTGATGTAAAAACGTATAATCAACTAAATGTGCCAACACTGCGCTCGTCACTGTTTTCGTTCCACCTGTACACAGCCAAGTCGAGCAACGCTCATGGATTCTCTGACAGTCTCCTGATTATTCTGCCGATATAACTTGCTCGACCCGAACAAGTAAAGGAGTATACACAAAAAGAAGTACTTGACCGAGGAAGTCTGTACTTGAGTTAAAGCCTTACGATTGGCATTGAAGTAAATCTTAGCCGTAAGCTTGCTGCGTAGTACGGTTTATGGTGTCGGATAGCCTTCCGGACGTTGCCTGCGCCATTCCATCCCATTTGAACGGCAACGACAGAGACCAATTTCTATACAACAGAATCAGTTTCAGCCCTCGGTTCTCAACACATCATATTTCTCCGAACAAACTTTTCGGAATACTCATTTCTCACAAAAAGACCAGCTAAGAAATTCCGCTAGTCCGGAAGTGTCTTCACTATATATCCTTGTTGACCTTTCGGTTAAACATCTAATCAAGTTCCGCTTCTGGTTTAGTAAGACAAAGCTGGCAAAATGTATGTATTGTCCATTCCATGTAGCTTTCCGCACACCTTGTGTTGGATCGACTCATCTGGTCTTCTGTTAATTTGGACGTCTAGGAAGGACATCGTACCATGTCGTTCAGGTTCTAGGGTAAACTTAGCATCGTCATGCGCTGAGTAAAAAGGGGAAAAATTTGATCTGTGCAGCAGTGACTGTTTGTCACACAAAATATATCATTCATATTTCGACCGTAATAGGGTAATACGCCAACGACTCCGCTCAGGTAGTTGTTTTCTAATTTGTTCATGAATACATCTGCCAGCAGCGGTCCTAGTGATGAACACATTGCTACTCCGTCCCTTTGTCTGTACATTACCTCATTAAACTTGTTATAATGCCATAAGTTAATCGGTGGCTTAAGTTTGGTAAGCTCGTCGCTTGGTGAGGGGGCTACCCTGTCCTCTGCACGGCAATAACGTGTAAGTCAGTGGATAGTGAGCGGCGCTATATCCCATCTAGTAACTTATTCACGATGGTCGTTGCCGTCCCCCGTAGCTCAGTGGTCCCAACCACGGACTGGCAACAGTCGAGTTGCGGGTTTGAGCCCTACCAGGGGTCCGATGGAATGCGCACTGCTGATGATTCCCGAAAGGATGAAACGCGTGTACAGTGCTTTTCCGGGCGTGTGGCGGCTGTCTGAGTGAGTCTAGATGTGACGAATTTCTACCTATACCATTTAACTCCCCCTACTACTCTTCTGTAAACTGAAATTGTATGTTGCTGGTGCACAGCATGAGTGGCTGTTTCAGCCAATCGTTCGAAAGACCGAGGTTCAACTGATGTGATCGAATGGTGTCGTATAGATAGCCTATTGTCTCTCATAGTAACTTGAGACTCAAAAATACGTGATATTACTATCAGCAGACAAACTAACATAGGGAAAATGCAGATCCGATAATGTTTTAAACTGCTCCATTGAATCTGCCTCCATTATACGCTTCGTCAAACTGTTCCAAGCAACAGCTACTTACCGTTCAAACCACGGGAGTTGGGAACTCGTTTCAGCTCTAGCACCACAAACTTATACTGATGTCCGCGCGTGCTGTAAGTTATTGACAAGTGAAGAAGTCATCATCATCATCATTATACACATTAGCGCTAGAGGTGGGAAACACCTCAGCTACTGTGCCGCAATACATAGAGAAAAAGGAAAATAAATACAACAGTTGCATGCCAGCTGAGCTATCAGCAACGGATAGGCATCGTTCCGGTAAGCTACCAGCCGGTTACTAGGCAAAAAGAAAAATTATGTAAAATTATATTACGCTACGAAATGAGATCGTGGCTGCAGGAGGAGGATAAAAGGTATGGCGTTGAACGAAGAAACTCTCAGCAAGAACGCCACTGAGATCGGCTCCTTGCCAGGTCAGCAAGTGTATCTAGCCAAACGTGTTCATCGCCTTTTGGACCCCAACCACGGATCCGTGATGCTCCAACCGAGGCCAGCTCAGAAGTGAGGGTCTTAATTCCTCTCGACCAAGTCAATGCTTGGCCACCCCTCCTCTTCTTCCATCCACACCCCCGGTGAGCAAACAACGCATGTCGCGGAAGTTGGTGGGTTGGCATGCGCAACACGTGGCCGAGCCATCGGAGCCTGGTGCCTGAAATGACGGTGCTGAGCGGTTCATTCCCTTTTCCTGTGCCGTAAACAAGGCGTCGTACACGCTCCTTACTCACACGGTGTTGCCACCAGATGTGAGCCAATCTGCGACGGCACCGATGATCGAACGTAAGTAGCCTCTTTATGTTTGCTGATCTTAGGGGCCAGGTTTCGCAACCGTACAGTAAGGTCGAACGTACCGCTGTATTGTACACTCTACCCTTCAGGGCAAGAGTGATGTCGCGCCGCCGCCATAGGTGGCGAACGTTAGCAAAAGCGCCCGGAGCTTTTGCTATACGGTTCGTGATCTCATCCTCAATCCCACGGGCGCTGATACAATTTCCCAGATAGTTGGATTTTTGAAAGACTTCCAACTGATCCCCACCAAGGGTCAGCGAAGGAGGCGGTCCAGATCAATCTTGGAGGAACGCTTTGCACTTCGAGGGTGCGAAGCAAAGCCCGAAGTGACAGACAGCTAATGCTAATCTGTCCAGTGCCGTTTGGCACGTTTGTGAGCTGTCACAGATTAGGGCAATATCATCCGCATACTCTAAATCAAGAATTCGCTCTCCTGGGAGCAGATCCACACCTTCAAAGTCGTGTCCTGTGAACGCGATTTCCATGACTTCGTCATTAGCGAAGGTGAAGAGGAAAGGTGACACCGGGCATCCTTGTTTCACACCGCTGGAGATAACGAAGTGTGGCGACAGCTTGCCGTAATCCATCACTTTGCTCGTGCTACGCGCGTATAATGCTCGGATAATATTTACATATTTCTCGGACACACCTTTCCTGAGTAGACCATTCCAAAGGGCACATCGATCAACCGAATAGAAGGCACCTTTGATGTCGAGGAATACGACTACAGTTTTCCGCCACTGTGTGACAGTGCTCCAATAACTGACGCAAGGTGAAGATGTGGTTGATGCAGCCAAGATCCCGACGAAACCTGGCTTGGTCTTCACGAATCTGGCATTCACGAGTGCCAGCCAATCTGTGAAGAATTAGGAAGGCGAGTAAATTGGACGCGATGGAGATCAGACTGATTACTCTATGGTTGTCGCATTCCGAACGCGCGCCTCCTTTGAAAATGGGGACAATAACATAGCGGCTCCAGTCGGTTGGGACAGTTTCCTGCTCCCACAGTTTCATTAGTATTTCAAGTAAATCATCAACAAGAGCAGAGTCTCTGAATTTGAAGAGGGCTGGATGAAGATCCTCTGTTCGCGCGGCTTTGTTCAACTTCAACAGTCCGATCTCACGTTCGAATTCTGAGCGAGAGGGTGGACCCAAAGGGACAGCCCACGGAGCAGTGCTATCAATGGCCGGCGAAGAATCGAACAAATCTAGCCGATTAAATTGCTTTTCAAAATGTTCAGCCCAACGCTCCAAACATTTTGACAAATTGTGGATAGGCTGTCCACTCTCATCACAAATTGTTTCACTAACACCAGGTCTCCCGCTGCCCGTTTCCCGTATCAGACGGAATAACTTATGATGGTTACCAAGGGCAGCGGCCATTTCCATCTCTGAAGCACGAATAGACCACAAGGATTCGCGATCTCTCTTCAGGCTAGCACGGAGTTGTGCCCGGAGCTCTTTGCGAGTTTCATTGTGTTCGCTTCCAGCCGGAATATGTCGGCGAGTATCGATAAATTCCAGAGACTGCGTAGAGACCTAATGTTCATGTTGGTTATTAGACATACCACATGAGAATTTGACTGCTGCTAGTAAGGTCTGGTGAACATGCGACCAGTGAGCTTCAATTGTCTCCAATGAGCGTTTCCACAACTCGCATGTCAGCGTACTTTGATAAGCATTCAGAACAGCTGACTTCGTCAGTTGACTAGTGTCAATGCGCTCACAGCGTCGTCGTGGGCGTCCGCCAATACGCATCCACACTTCAGCACACGCAAGTGCATGCTCGGTGTCCACACATGTGCTCCAAATCGAACGACAGTTCTGGATGCAGCCTCTCCATCGGTAACTTATCGCAATGTGATCCATTTGCGTCCAAGGCTGGTGGGCGTCAAATCCTCCTACGGCGGGTGCTGTGTCTGAAATTAGTGCTCGCAAAAAATAAGCGGGCATCTTCACACAAATGAAGCAACTGCTCACCGTTATCATAATAGGAGCCTACACCATGTTGGCCGCCCAGATGCATTTCATCAGTGGACAACTTTCCAACTTGTGCGTTCATATCCCCCGCCAGCACAACAGGATCCGAGCTTCTTCTGTGGCGAAGGAGCTCGTTCAGTTGGTAGCAGTTTGTGAGCGCGTAGGCAACAATGATGAGTAGACACTTATTAGTCCCGCGCGATTTCGAAGTTTTGAACGAGCCAGCCAATCGGACCGCACACATCCGGTTATTGATTAGTATCCAATCAACCAGCGTCACGGCTCCCTGGTTGGGGTCCGAAAGACGATGAACACGTTTGGCTGGATACACTTGCTGATATGGCTAGGAGCCGACCTCAGTGGCGTTTCGGCTGTGAGTTTCTTTGTCCCTCCCCATCCTTTTTAGCCTCCCCCTTCATCTACGATCTCATTTCGTTGCGTAAAACATAATAATGTTTTTTGCCTAGTAGCCGACTGGTAGCTTACTGGAACGATGCCAATCCGTTGCTGGTAGCTCAGCTGGCATGCAACTGTTGTATTTTTTTTCCTTTTCCTTTATGTATTGCGGCATAGTAGCTGAGGGGTT